TGTAGTACTTTGACAGAAACAATAAACTGCTTCTTCTTTCTCCCCTCCCCCACAAAAGAGGAGAAAAATGGTAAGGCCAGTAGAGAGTTGGGAATTCTGTCAGTTACCTTTTAACGGAATTTGAGCTACCCCAAGAGAGGGCTTAGATACTTTAGATTGTCTTAAGGATTGGGGCAAATCCCTAAATCAGCTTGGCACTAGACTTTCTGAGTTTTACAGAACACTGACTCTCCACAAGTGCAGGGAGTAATGGATCACATGAAGACTAACTTCTCCAGCACAATAGGCTATAATGCTACGTTGTAGTTTACAGAGAAATGGTTCAACTATAAAAGTCAAATGAGACCAGCACAGTAAACTTGAATATAGGCTTAGTTCTTTCTAAATCAAGATACCAGTGAGTACTGCATGAGGGAAGCACTAGTAAATGGAAAAGCAATCTGGTTGCTACTCAGTAACTCCAGAGAAAACTGGAGCTACTGATCAGGGTAAGGAACCTGGAGCATATAGGTCAGATATCCTGCTTAGTTTACATTAATTAGAAAAGCACCAAGAGAGGCCAGATGCATTGGCTCACGCCTGTAATCACAGAACTTTGGGAGGCCAAAGCAGGTGGATCACTTGAAGTCAGCAGTTCGAGACCAGCCTGGTCAATGTGGTTAAACCCTGTGTCTACTAAAAATACAAAAAATTAACTGGGCATGGTGGTGGGTGCCTGTAGTCCCAGCTACTCAGGAGGCTGAGGCAGGAGAATTGCTTGAACCCAGGAGGCAGAGGGTGCAGTGAGCCGAGGTTACACCACTGCACTCCAGCCCATGTGACAAAGCAAGCTTCCGTCTAAAAAAAAAAAAAGCACCAAGACATCATATCATTAATTATCCTAGAGTTTTACAATTCCAATAGAACTTGAATTTGTAACATTAATATCCTAAAGGCCACAAGATGAAATGTTGCTGCATGAAAGACTCTCTATGGTCATCCAACCCAGATTTTCTGCGTGTTTTCATGTGCTTTTCTGTCTCCATACTATCTCTTTGTATTTATCTTTGCTTTTCTTGGTATGAGCAAATCTGTGATGCTGTGTCTCTATCTTGCTTTGTCTATCTCGCTTTCCACCTTTCTGTTCCTTCCTAATCTCCTACCACTCTAACTTTATACCCTATCATTTTGCACTGATACATTTTCTATTACATGTTGTATTTACTGAACAGTTTTAAGTTCTCAGTTCTCCATTTAAAACAACAGATGAATAGATAATTTCATCTTTTTCTACTTAAATGAAACGTTCATTTTTCATGTAGGGGGCCACACCCGATTTTTCTCCTATAATTGGTATGAGAAAAAAGATTCCTCTCCTGATTTAAAAACATTCCTATCTTAGGAACTTCATTTTAAACGCTTTAAATAAGTTCCATGAACTGAAGTAGAAAAATACTTCAGATTCATTCTTGATCTACTTTCTCTGCCCACATTTTTAATCTGGATTGAATTCAGCCCCATCCTCTCATGTTAGTGGTTAATTCAGCCCCACATTAAACTGAGAAGGGGAAGAAAGAGGCGGAGACCTAGATTTCACAGCTGTCATTCCAGACACTTCCCATCTCCTTCTCTCCTATGTTGAGAGAATGATATTCGAAGGGAACAGTTATAGTTCCTGAAAAGGTCAGATCTATGAATTTAGTATGGACTACAGGCCTAGTAATAGTCCCTACAGCCGAACCTGCCCTTGTGAATGGTTTGAAACACATGAAAACTATGGAGAAAGTCTTTTCAGTAGACAGACAATTACTGCCCAGTCTTACCTGCATCTGTCCATGAGGTTTGGACAGTTCTCCCTCAGGACAATTTTATTCTTAATTTGGAGTTAGTTTTGAGGTTCCTATATCTCCTGTTCCTGCTTAGAATTAAAGAATCTTAGATTCCTTTGAAACCACCTGACCCAACTGCCTCAATTTCTAAATAAAAATATTGATGATATGATGGACTTGTTCAAAGTTAGGAAACCAGTTAGTGAAAGGGCCTGAAAAAAAAATCTTACTTACTCTTCTCGTAGGTGCTATTTCACACTTCATGATGCCTTGCAAAGATTAGATATACAAGAATACATAAGAATTTCCACTAAAAGTCACCCTGGACAAAGCAACATAAATCTTTGGGGAAATGTAGTCTGAAATGACTGCACTCCACCAGTTAGTCAACATGTTAGCTAGCTACCTGGAAACCAGAGTCAAATTAAAGGATTATCCACGCAGCACTCAAGGCCTCCATCTCTAAAAGATGCTAACAAGATGGCACCCTTGTGTGAATTAGAAAAATATCCTTTGCCTGGGAAGGTGCAGCCCCTTGAGAATAAGATGCCCCTTCCTTCAGGTGAATGTGCCAGCAGCTGTCTGCAGTGTGGCAAGTGGAGAGTGAGATGGTTTCAGTCGCCACTTCGCCCCTTGGGTGAGCATCCTTGTGCATTTACCAGAAATCCTCTCTTGGAGACCATATGTGGGTGGGAGTTGCTTTGATAAGCAACTTGAGGTGGGGTAGAGAGAGCCAAGCAGCAGTAAATGGTCACAAGCCTGCCTCCTTTGGAGGGTGACTATGCTTAACCAAGTGGGGCACAAAGTTTGGGCTCAGAGGAGAGGCTGAAGGCTGCCCTGGAATTCCTTCTATGTCCTGCTCACCCTCCTCCCTCCAAGGGCCTAGGGTTCTGAGTTAGAGCATGAGTTATCATGGTGTAAATTCTACAATTCCCCTGAAAACAGTCTACAGTGTCAGAGGTCGAAGAGTGCTCTGGTATTAATTCTGGAGGTAGCACTTCCATTCTGAGATAGTTCAAATACTTCCTTCCTCTTCATTGTCTATGGGCAAAGTTGACTTTGCGGTCGACTGATGAATATGAATGAATCTTGTATTGTCTTAGCTGTGTGGCGACTTTGAACTAATTCTCTTACAGCTGCTGAGATTCCTTTTCTTCATCTATAAAATGGTCTTTGCTATAAGAATTAAAGGAGACAACACATTGGCAAACAGAAGTGCAACTAATGTGGCCAACAGGAGGGGAAAGGGTTTTCTCCCATCTTCCCTCCCACTCCATCTCACTCCAGGGGCAGAGAACTTACTGGTGGGAGCCTACTGTCTGTGTCACTACAGACCTTTAGCTCTCAGGGCCGAAAGGAACTGGGCAGCAGAACAGCTCACTGAAAAGGAAGAGAGGATGATACCTGAGGTTTGATTTGTCCTTTGGGTACCACAATTTCCACACTTTCTACCTTAGGTATTGCTAAATTGAAGTCTTCCCTACTAATGGGTGCCCTGTAGACTACAAAGTATCTCTACTTATTTATGAGTAGGAAGGCTGTCAGAGTGGTTAAGAATGAGCATTGGTAATGGAGAGACCTAGGTTTGAATCCTGGCTCTACTTTTTTACTTTTTGTGAGGCCCTGGGCAAAAGTCAGCCACAGTTTTTCTTAACTTAAAGTCATTAGTTCTAGATAGTTTCCTGATACAAAAAAAAAAAAAAAAAAAAATTCATTTAAGGATTCTACTTTAGCAAACGATTACTTTTTGAAAATGTGCCTTCTACCTAACCCCAGAAAAAAAAAAAAAAAAAAAACACTCAATAAGCATTAACATTATTTTTAGGGGCCTGCTGGGTCAAGTGCTCCTGAGTTACTCTTTTAAAAAATCCCTCACAAGTGGCAGAAGGAGGAGACAATGCCTGGCAGTCCTTGGGTCAGGTGGCAGCCAGGGAAGGCAGGAGGTAGGGACTGCAATTGGGACTGCTGGGCTGCAGCAGGTTGTGCCCCCGGGTTTGCACAAAATTTGTTATCAATAGGGTGAGTTCTCCCAGAATTGACGATTCTCAGATTGCCCAAGGAGGGGGTATCCGGGATCAGATGCAAAAAATGATTGACACATTACCATGAACAGAAATGGTGAACTAAGGGTGAGGCATGGAATTGCAACCATATCACAAAAGAAATGGAGGACACAAGTTTACAATAGTTACCATATCCGCTTATATTCACGACGTGAAGGACTTTCTGGTCACACCCATTCCTTCTCCCAGGACTTTTTGGAAGCCAGGGAGAGAAAACACACTGGGCACACACTGTATCACTGATGACTGGGGCTATAAAGCCTCTTCCAGGTGGTCCAGAAAGCAAGACCACATTCTGCTGCTAGCCCGAGGATGATGATATGTAACTATTAAATTTTCAGGGGTTTGAGATCAAGCATCTTGTCTAATATCTTTTTTCCCCATAAACAGTAGGTGCTCAATAAACAAGCATGACAGGAGGGGAAATGAGGAATGCACAAGATAAATAAAATATCCCTGATGATTTCCAGGCCTGTTAATCTTGGTCCTTTGTCAATGGTAAATCTCAAATAAGGGCTCAGCGCTTGTCCTACCAACACCTCTAAACCATCTCCATAATCTGGATCTGAACTACCCAGTGTCCACCAGGGGTCCTGGGATGAAGGGAGACGTGTTTCTTTCACCGTCATCATGATCGATTACTTCTTCCCTTCAAGTCCAGAGTCGCAGGCAGCGTACATAAGGCCATCTCCAGTCCTCTGCTTCCACGGCTGGGGAGAGGCAAGGTCTCCCTTCGCCGTCGTACCCTGCCCTGGAACAGGAACTCTGGGGAAGAAGGGGGACTCCATCAGCAAGGAAGCCCTCCGGCTTCACTCTCCTACAGGCAGTCCCGCGAGCGCGGCCAAAGCGATGCAGCGTGCGGGGGAAGCTCGGGGAGCGCGGGCGGGCGTTGGCGCGGGGCCCGAGTAGGCGTGGAGCCCGGGTCGGCGTGGAGGGACGTGTCACCCGCGCGGAGGCACGGCCTGTGGCCCCGGGCGTGGGCAGGCGCGTAGCCGGCGTGCTCCCCGCGCGCTCGGGCGGTGCGGGCGCGGCCGGCGCTCCTGCAGAGGGAGCTGTGCGCCCGGCTTGGCGCACACTCGGCGCCGCTCGCTCCCTCTTGCCGCCGCCGCCGCCGCTGGGCCCGCCCGCCGGGGAGGGGCTCCCGGGCTCGCCGATAGCGGCTTCCTGCTCCCGCACTTCCTCGCCGCCGCGCCGCCAGTTCGTGAGTGCTAGCTTTGGCCGGGAGCCGCCCGCCTGCCGCCGCCACCTGTCCCGCCGCTACTGCGCCCCAGCCGTACCTCGCTGCCAGCCGGGCTCACTCAGGTCCGCTCCTGGAGCCCGCGCCCCTCCACCCTGCCCCCGTCCGTCCCCGGCCATGCTGTCCCTCCAGTACCCCGACGTGTACCGCGACGAGACTGCGGTAAGTACCCCTGCCCGCGCCCACAGTGCTCCTGAGCGCTGGTGCCGCGCATGCCTGGCCGGTGGCGCCCGCAGCTCCTCTCCCTGCAGCCCCCCGCCCCCCGCGTCCCTCCTCTCTCCCTCGGCCTTTGTTTGGGAGAATTGGGTCGGGGGCGCTGGGCTCCTCCCCACCGCGGGGGCCCCGCCGGCGGTCACTCAGCTGGTGCTGGCGGCGGAGCCTGTGGGCAGCGCCGCCCGGCCGCTTCCCAGAATCAATGGGGTCAAGGGCAGACGCCCGGGTAGGAATGGGTGTCTTCAGGGAGTGGGAAGACTGACGGTGTCACTGCTTTTTTGACTGGCGGAGCCTCTTGCTTAAATATGGTGGTAGGAGAAAGTGTCCGCTGGTGTGTGTGTGATGATGTCACATTTAAAAACAAAAGCAAACTTTTAAAACTTACACTTTAAAGTCCTTAAAGTTGTAGCATATTCATTCGATTTTAAAACGTCAGTTGGGCGTCTACCTTGTCCCAGGTCGGATGCTGAGCATTGGGCCCTCGTGGTGCCAGAGACCCAGACAGAAATGGGAAAGGCGGAGCAGTGACCCCATAGTGTGGCCATGCTGATCCAAGTTTTAAGAAAAGATGTTGAGAGAGGGTGAGGGGAGGTCTTAGAAGGGAGAAGGGTTGACCTTTTTCAGAATGAGTAAGTTTTGTCTAGTGGTGGAGCTGACCGCCATTTGCCTAAGCTGTAGATGAACTCAAGGTAACTGTTGAGATCCAGTAGGTGGAATTCTGGGCAAACACCTTTTTTATGTAAACATGAATTTGACATTTTAAGAACTGGATTGCATCCAAATGTTTTGGCCGTGATTCTCTTACTAATAGCTACATTTCTCAGACTACTTAAAATATAATCAGAATAAATATGGATTTGTGTAATAGAGTTTTAATTTTTTTCTGTTTACTTTCCCAAGTTATGCCAGAAAGTGTTTACTTTAAAGCACGTGTTACCCTGGGGTAAAGGGTGCTGACGCTTTAGTGTAAAGGACGTATTGTTTTAAATTAAGACTTCCTGGTGACACTGATACATTCATGGTTTCTTTGACCAGTGGCCCTCTGGTAACCATGTTTTCTCAGTCTGCTCAGCTGCTTGCTTATTAAATTTACCCTAACAACTCAAGAAGCTCTATTCCTGTGGTTTAAAGGGTTGTTGCCTTTGCATATGGGAGTAAAGTGATCCTGCTGGAATGGAGAAAGAGGCTAGACTAAGTGAGAAGACCAGAGTGCTAGTTCTGGTTTTGTCATTCACTAGTTAGGCGACTTTTAGCAGCTTTTTCACCTGTTACAGGCCTTTTTTCCTCATATGTGAAATATTAGGACTGACTTGCTTGCTTACTTCTGCAGTAGGAATGTTACCATTCATTCATTCACGTGATAGTATAGCTCTGCCGTGTTCCAGACTAGTAATGGGAAGACGTGTGACTATCTTGGTTCTGGTTCTTAAGGATCTAAATACAAAGAACTACCCATTCTGTGGTTTGGTAAGTGCAGTTTTAGGTTTGTTTTTAGAGTTACTTGTTAGTTTTTCACTCCTCTGGGTGCCTAAATCCTACAGTTTATTTATCTATGTTTAATAGTTCATGAAAGATTTAAGTGAGGATTTTATGAAGACATCTAAAAGATTAGAAAGGTTTAAGTGAGGATTTTATGAAGACATCTAAAAGATTGTAAACAATTAACTTGGAAGGGTATGCTGTGGATGTTAATACACTCCAGTTCCTTCTCATTAAACAACTCATAACTCTAAGCATCGTGGCCAAGGGAAGGTAGCTCTGGCCCATTCTAGATCCTGTTTTGTGGCTCCCTGATAGCTTATGGTGGGTATCTTTTTTTTTTTTTTCCCATTAAGGTTTTGGTTACTAAGCCCTAGGCTTGACTTAGGTATTTGCTTAAATTGTAGCCTTTGATTTCTAGGATGGATTTGTTTCTCGCCAGCATTAGCTGGGGAATTGCTGTAGTTCTCCGTCTCTTTCACTCAAGTACCTTCAGCCACATGTTCAGTACTCTCCTGCTGAAAGGGTTGGAGCATTGAAACCGTTTTTGTGGATTTCTGCCTTTTTGTGCAGAAATTTGGAAGCTATGACACTTCTTGTGCCATGCCATTGACCATTGCTTAAGAAAGTTGCTATCAGGAAATTCAGGCCTGCTACAGGGGACTTACACCCTGATAGAAGAGGCTTTAGGATGAGAGGAGCACACAGAAGAGGATGGGACTACTTTCCATCAGGAGAAGGAGGTATTATGTGAATTGAGTCTGGAAGTTGACCATTTGGATAAGGGACAAAGGACATTCCTGATCCTTTGACTAAAATAATTGATAGCTGTGCAGGCCTGGATGGTTGTGGAATTGCATTTGTTTGCAGGATGGCAAGAAAGCCATTCTGACCAGACCATCAATAGATAGGTAAACTTGCATGGGCCTGGAAAGATGAGCAGGGCAGGTTTGATGGGTCCTGCCTACTGTATGTATGAGTCTGTACTTTATCCTGAAGGCAGTGGGTAAGCTGTTGAACAGTACAAGTAAAATATCAAACAAGATTAAGTAATACAGTACCTTATCAGGGCTCTATTTTTAAAACCTCTTGACTAGCAAACTTAGGTGGAAGAATTCAATTCAAGGGCCCATGGCTATAAGACATATCAACCCCATTTGTAGGGTATGGTTTTAAAAAAGAAAGATTGGAAGTGGGGAGTTGTGGCTCCTGGGATTGACTGGAATTGTCCTAGAGAGAATCAGTTTCTTGTCCTAGTTAAAAATATCTGATCAATAACTTCCATCTGCTGTAGATGGTGTGCCCAGTCTGGACAGATAGGGCTGCTTGGTGTAAATTTCTGGATATGCCTGAATTTTAGTATCATCATAATCCAGGAACTTTTTTTTTTTTTTTTTTTTTTGAGATGGAGTTTCGCTCTTGTTACCCAGGCTGGAGTGCAATGGCGTGATCTCCGCTCACTGCAACCTCCGCCTCCTGGGTTCCAGCAATTCCCCTGCCTCAGCCTCCTGAGTAGCTGGGACTATAGATGCGTGCCACCATGCACAGCTAATTTTTGTATTTTTAGTAGAGACGGGGATTCACCATGTTGACCAAAATGGTCTCGATCTCTTGACCTCCTGATCCACCTGCCTTGGCCTCCCAAAGTGCTGGGATTATAGGCGTGAGCCACTGCGCCCGGCCCCAGGAACATTTTTTAAGAATCTGTTCTGCCTCCTCTGATGAATGGGGAAAAGGGTCGGCTGATTGCTTTAGTCTCAGGTTTGATTCTAAACTTGGTATGGCTCTGGGCATGTTACCCAACTTTGTGGCTGCTGTTGCTTCTAGAAGTGTATGATTGAAGGATGCTTTACAATTTGAAATTTTCTGATTTCGTAATACTAGGAAAAGAAGATTGTTATTTTAAGCCTGTTTTATAACCACCTCAAGGTGTGTAAAATGAAAAGACTTGCAGATGAGAAGAAAAGAAAGTTTTTGTTCATTGGTGACAGTCTGCTGAAATGTAGAGAGGTCAGGATTGAGAGTTGGTAACTTGATGAAGACCCATCAGGAGAGGCTTTAGTCAAGTTTTATGTTCCTTACTCTTGTTTTTATGTCCGTTGCTCAGTCAGTTGTTTAATATTCCCAGAGGGTTCTGCCTTACCTGCCCATTTATCCAGTTGTGCATTTCCCCAGGAGTCCTTTTACCTGGCATCAGATGAGGACAGATGTGGAGAACCTGGTGTTGTAAGGCCCAGGGAGATTGTTCTCACCCAGCCAGGAGCCACACTGGAACTAGAGCAGCACCAGGCTTTCCTTAGGGAATAGCCCTTACCTTTGGGTATTGTAGAACAAAGCAAGGAGACAGATTAGAAATTCATCTGAAATAGATAGAGGTAGTCTTCCCAACAACCTTATACAAGAAGCCTTAACCAGAATGTTGTAGTGGTTCAGAGACTTGATTGGCAGGACATTGTCAATGTGGTTTCAGTTATGGGGTTAATTTTTTTTTGCGGGGGGCAGGGAATGGAGTCTTGCTGTGTCGCCCAGGCTGGAGTGCGGTGGCATGGTCTCAGCTCACTGCAATCGTCACCTCCCGGGTTCTAGAGATTCTCCTGCCTCAGCCTCCCGAGTAGCTGGGATTATAGGCATCTGCCACCACGCCCGGCTAATTTTTAAATTTTGAGTAGAGATGGGGTTTCACCATGTCGGCCAGGCTGGTCTTGAACTCCTCACCTCAAGTGATCTGCCTGCCCCAGCCTCCCAAAGTGCTGGGATTATGGGTATGAGCCACTGCACCTGGCCCTTATGGGGTTAATCTTGGTAGTATCAGGTAGAGAGATTTTGTAATAATTTTTACTGCTGGATAATTTGTTTTGGCACAATCACTTGAATGGTGAAAGCTGCTTCTATTGCTCCTTCAAATGACTTCAGGTGGCCTTTAAGGCCAGGCCAGGACTTTGTGGTGGGAGCTCCAGAAAGCTTCCTTCAGCCAGGCTCTGCTTACACTAAGCAGTTTTATTTCTACCAATATCATGGTACCCTGAATGGGTGATGCTTTTGCACCTTCTTTTTGTAAACAGTGAAAACATTTTATAACAATAAAAAGGAAGAAAGACATTCGTTTTAAAATGTTCTGCCATTGCATTTAAGTCAGCTTTTTTAGCTTAAGTCAATTAGAATCATTATACTGCATATTAGTAACTTGCTTTTTGGAAGTTTAGACTTAAAGCGAAAGTAACTGTGGGCTCCATTGCAGGGAAATTTCTAATCGTTGGGAAGCTCAGCGGAACAGGAGGGTGAGCACGTGTGTGTTAGCTCCCTCCCTGTCGTGCCCTTCTTGCGTGCCCACTGCATTGTCCACTGTATTGTGTCATTCTGTGCTTGGCCGCTGACAGCACGTTTTCAAGTTTCTTTAGCACAGTGGCAGGTCTTTGTTTTGTGTTGTAGGGACAGAGCGGTTTCCTGTTCTGACCTTTCGTCTTTCTTTCCTCTCTAGCTAAAACATTCTTTTCATGAAGGGTGGCTTGACACCTTTGAGAACCTGCCAACTTGGTTCATGTGGTAATTTGAGCACACATGTTGCCAGTGAGCCAATTAGTATTTTTGTCCACCCCTTTCCTATTTCTCCATTACATTAAAAAAAACACCAGTTTTAATTGGGATTAGAGAGCAATTATCTAATACCTCATTTTATCTTTTGCAGGTACAGGATTATCATGGATATAAAATTAGTGATCCTTACGCCTGGCTTGAAGACCCGGACAGTGAGCAGACAAAGGTAATTTGGTTTCTAATTAAAGATAAGGCAGCCTTAGTAGCTAGCACCAAATTGTCAGTAACCATAGCTTTTTCTTTCTGTTGTTCTCCTTGTTTTCTGCCATGAGATGGTGAGTATACCTGTTGCTACCACTACTTTTTGTCAAATGATTAATGGGAAAAAGACAAAAGCATGGCTTAGTCCCAGAGAAAATCATGTAAGTGCTTCAAATAATGTTTATGGTTCATAGTGACACTGAGGAGCTATTTTAAATGAAAATATCAGAAAACTGATTTTTGCCAAAAGAAAAAGTAAAAACCTAGATAGAAATGATGTTAAAGGAAAAAAATGCCTAAATATTTTTTTCCCAAGAAAAGGAAATCTTATATATGAAACAAATATCAGGTCTTGAAAACCCAATACTGGCCTTAGATTGCTTATTGATGTTAATACAACAACAATGAAAGAAAAACTAAGTTATAAATAGAAGAACATTCTTGTATTTTCTAAAAGTAAAGGGGCAGAGAGGAGCATTTTCGTCTCTAAAAGCATAAAGCTATCATATTCTTTTGGAGAAACAGTGTTTCAAGGACCCTGCTGAAGTCTCATTTCAATAATGAAGGCCCAAAGTCCATGTCCCACAGATACTTTCCTCTTCTTCGAGTGCCAGGGACTTGTCACTGACATATACTTTTTTTTTTTTTCTGAGATAGAGTCTCACTCTGTAGCCCAGGCTGTAGAGTGCTGGTGTGATCTTGGCTCACTGCAACCTCTGCCTCCTAGGATCAAGCAATTCTTGTGCCTCAGCCTCCTAAGCAGGTGGGTTTACACGCACGTGCCACCACACCTGGCTAATTTTTGTATTTTTATAGTATAGACGGGGTTTCACAATGTTGGCCAGGCTGGTTTCAAACTCCTGGCCTCAAGTGATCGTCCTGCCTTGGCCTCCCAAAGTGTTGGGATTACAGGTGTGCACCATCACCCCTGGGCCATTTATGTATACTTTATGTAGTTAATTAAGTTTGCTTGGGTAGGGGAATAGTGTTTCTCAAGTTCATCTTAAATTCTTTGATTCTTTTATTTATAATCGTAGTACATAATACTTAGTACATATTTACAGTTTCTAATATGTTCACCATCCCCAAATTTATTCTAGCTTTTTTGAGTCACAGGGTACGTTTCCCATTTAAAAAAAAAAAAAAGTTAAATGCATTCTAGGTAGTTTTTCAGGCCAGTCTTCACACGCCTGTGTCTTAACTCCACCTGTTTCTTGTGGTCCCGTGCCACTGTATATACCAGTGTTCTCTGAAGAACTAAATTCAAATTTGCCAGGAAAGCATCCGTTACTGAAGTGGAATTGCCCATCTCTCTACTGAGTTAAGGAAAGGGATGGAGTGAAGAGCTTAGCTGGAGCATGAGGGTATATGGAGAAAAGAGGAGAAAGTACAGACGGGGGAGTAAACCACATGATCATCTCTTTCTTCTTCCTTTAGTCTCAAGCACTGGCTCACTTGCATTCTGCCACCCTCACCTGTTCTTTGTGAGTAGTGTCTCTCCTTTGCCCACTGCAAAGCTCTTAGGACTTCTTTTTATCCTTTGTCCCTAAAGTAGGCACACTGCTATTTTGAGATTTCCTAATGGTTTTTACTTTTATCTGGAATCCTACATTCTTTCTGTTTCTAACTCCCTTCAAGAAAGACAACGATCTCATGAGTGAGAATGGTTGATATTTGGTGTTTAATTTTTCTTTCAAGAAGCACTGGATTATAGAAGTGGACGGGCAGAAATTCTAAAGTGAGAAACACGTGAATATCCCTAGGAATGGTGAAGGCTGTAGCTCTGCACATAAGGCTGGGGGAATAGAGAGCAGGTGTGCAGTCACCTTCTCACTTCATGCCTGCCATAGATTACCTTGATTGTTCAGCATTGGGCTGAGCTGAGACAGAGGGATTGGGCCTGGGAGTGGAGAGTCAAATGCAGCTGCATAACCGCTACTGGCTAGCAAGCACCAGGGAAGAGAATGAAGTTCCTCTGCTTCTCTTGGAAAATTGTCCCCAAGGATGTGATGATTTCTTCACCTGAAGTATTGGCTATAACCTGGATTCCCAGAGCCTTTGATGGTGATTGAGTGATTCAGCACTGTCAGAATGACCCTGGTTTTATCTGTTAATGAATGTATACTCTGCTGTTCCTTCGTTGATAATGACAGGTCCATGGATGACAAGCCACTTATTAGTGGATATCAAGCTTCCAATTAGTGGATGAAACTGCTAATTAGTGATCTTACAGTCAGCACGCGATAGAAACTAAGACATTGGAGTGTACACTGTTATTTTTGTGGTATACATTTCTTCGATGCTTACTATGTGTCAGGCACTTTACCGGGAGTTCTGCATACCCTGTTCCGTTTTTAACTCTCAAACTCTGAAGTTGATCTTTTTATTTCCCCCATTTTACAGATGAAGAAATTGAGGTGCTGAGTGATTAAGTACCTTGTCCATGGTTACTCAGCTAGTAAGTGTGTAGTCAGGGGTGGAACCCAGGTAGACCAGGTGGTTATCAATTACGTATTAAAAAATAAGTAAAAATAAAAAGCCTAGGTGTAATAGCTTTGCAGATGCAAGTGAAAGGAATTTATTCATGCTGTGCTTGCCATGCGCCTTTGTAGGCCCTCATGCATGGACCATGGGCCGGCTCCCACTCCCATGCTGACCTGTTCTTTTTATTTTAAATGTATTTTTTTAAATTGTAATCCTTCAGAGTACTGTAATCGTACATCCTTCTCTGACTTCATATTCTACCATGGCAGTTTTTCATGTTAGTAAGCAGTCTTTACAGCCCAGAATTTTAATAAGAGTCATACCATTTCTTCAAGCAAATGCACTATATTATGCCTAATGACTTCACTATTGTTAGAAATGATTATTTTCAACTTTTCATTATTACAAATAATGTCCCAAACAAGCGATTTTTCAAATGTCCACATTTCTAACAATGCCATGATCCCTTGTTGCAGTAGCCTTGAAATCTCTTCTCCATTCCCAGGTATTGGCTTTGGACATTGCTTTCAAATGGGTTCCTTTTTCATCATTGATGGCATATATGAGTGTTACTGACTCTTTTTTTAGAGACAAGGGTCTCACTCTGTCACCCAGGCTGGAGTGCAGCTATCTTCTGGTCTCCAGCTAACTTCCTGCCTTAGCCTCCCAAGTAGCTGGAACTACAGGCACAAGTCACCACGCCTGGCAAGAGTGCTGCTACCACACCTGGCTAAACTAGCTACTGCTACCGATTTTATATTTATTTGTACCTAGTCCCTTTATTGAACTCACTAATTAAATAAATCTGCAGTTTCTTCCCTTAGGTTTCTAGATACATAATCATATTTAATCAAATTTAGTGGTGATTTTATTTTCTCTTCTACCAAACTTTATTTTATATATTTTGTACCTAGTAATTTTTTTGAACTCAGTAATTTGAATAAGTTTTCAGTTATTTCCCATAGGTTTTCTAGTTATATGATCATATAACCTACAATTAATAATTCTTTTCTCCTCTACCAAATTTTGGTGCAAGTCTTACTGCATTGGTCAAAGCTCTGCAAAACATGTAAGAATAGTAGTGATGAAGAACATTCTAGCCTAGTGTTTAAATTGTTATTTTGAGTGACATTTGTCATCTTGTTCAAGCATTGGTATTCCTACTTTTAGTTTTGGATTTCAATTTCTTTTTAATACCAATCAGGATAATTATATAGCTTTACTAATAATATTAAAATGTTCTTGAGTTCCTGTGATAAAATGCAGTTTTTTCTTATCTGCTTTTATGTTCCTTACAACTATATTTACAAAAAAAGTCGATCAGTATTCTGTTATCCAATACAAAAACCACTAGCCACTCATAGCTCCTGAGGACCTGAAATGTGGCTGGTCTGAATTGATTATGTGTTGTAAGCATAAAATACATGCTGGATTTCAAACACTTGGTTTGAAAAAAAATGTAAAATATCTTAATATTGTATATGGATTACATAAAACCAGTCAGGATATTAGAAACATCTGTAGCTCTCTTACAAGATCTGAAAGTAGGGCTTTGATTTAATGTAGTATTTAATACAGGTTGGCCAATTCTGACAGCATTTAAGGCTATATCATTTATAAAACAAAATCAGAGAAGACTTGTAACAGAAAATTCTCAAAAACAGGGTTGAAATGATTTGTGTATAGTGGATTAAATAAAATATATTATTGAAATGAATTCTTTTATCTTCTTAATGTGGCTAGTAGAAAATTTTAAATTATATATGTAGCTTGCATAATGTATCTGCTGGGTAGCACTGCTCCTCTGTTTCTTTACCAAATATCTCTGTTAACATTTTTCACATCAGGGTTAGATTTGCTTCAGAGAATCAACTGAATTGTGTGTTATCTTCTACAATCTGAAGCATTTGCTATAAAATAGCAATATGGACCTTCATAGCTAGAAAAGATTCATCCAGATTCAACTGTCCCCCTGCCCCGCCCCATCCCCC